ATGAATCTTATCTGTTTGATAGAAGTTTGGAAAGTAATCCCTTCTCCCTTCTTCTCACTGCCCCCGAACCTCAAATCAATCATTCAGTCCAAATAGTTCAAATAAAAATGAAGAAGAAAAAGTTACACTGCCTAATTGACTGAGAATGTGAAAGGCAAAGTAACAGTTTAGCAAAAGTGAATGAGAATATGTGGTCAGAGGACTACAAGTTATATGACTGACCTTCGGCAAGTCATTTAATCTCTGTACTTCACTTTTCTAACGGATAAACAATGCAATAATACCTATTTCATGTGGGCTGTCCTGAAGATCAAATAGGAAAATGTATGTCAAAGTGGTCTGCAAACTGTAACTTTGTAAACAAATGTTATTATTAATAAAGAAAAGGAAAAGTTTCTTTCCTCAGTGTATTTTTACTTCTGTCTTTAGTAGCTATTTCTAAAATACTCTTCCCTTTTTATTCAAGTCATTTACTTGCTATTTAAAATTTTTCAAATTTAAGCTAGATATCTTCAGGTGCCAATTACCAATTATAAGCCACAAAGGTAGATGGATACTATGCTACCTTCATCCCTAAAGAGAGAACTCTCTCTTAATGTCTATAAACACCATTTTAATATTAGTATCCCCGTGATCATTAAAAGTATGACTGCTTGTTAGAGTTTGAATATCTGAGGAAGGTACTACTCAGATCCCATCAACATGCTTCTCATCTGAGTAGTTCAAGATAAGGTGCAATCATAAAATGTCCAAGGAAAATAAACTATGACACCGAGCAATTCTAAATCTGTGGTTGGTAAAAACTTAATTTGCAACTAACAATATTTAGTTCTCTACAAAACAAAATCCTTTGTTGTATCTCTTTCCCACACTTCCCCTCTGCAATATTTGTCAACTGAATTCACCTCCATTCAAATTAAACAAAATAGAAGGTTTTTATTTACTCAAGTATTTTACACTGAACAGCTCCCTGGAGGTTCGCCATTTACTACTTGGGTAATATTATCTTTCCTTTCGTTTATTAGATCGACAAAGTTAACTTAAAAATAACCTTGGGAACTTTAAGTGATTCTTGGTCAGTTACTATTTTCTTCTGTACGTATGCTATCTCGTGAAGGGAGTTTTTTGCGTTAATTTTTTTTTCTTTCACTCTCTCTCTTTTTTAAAAAATTTATTTATTTTTATTTTTGGCTGCGTTGGGTCTTTGTTTCTGCGTGCAGGCTCTTCTCTAGTTGCGGTGAGCGGGGGCTACTCTTCGTTGCGGTGCGCGGGCTTCTCATTGCGGTGGCTTCTCTTGCTGCAGAGCATGGGCTCTAGGCATGTGGGCTTCAGTAGTTGTGGCTCGCGGGCTCTAGAGCGCAGGCTCAGTAGTTGTCGCGCACGGCCTTAGCTGCTCCGCGGCATGTGGGATCTTCCCGGACCAGGGCTCGAACCCGTGTCCCCTGCATTGGCAGGCGGATTCTTAACCACTGCACCACCAGGGAAGCCCTGCATTAATTTTTATAATTTCTTAAAATACGTGGCCAACATGAAACATCATCATTCTGACGATGAAATGCTTTCAATTCTGTTCTTTATACAAGTGAACATTTCGTCTAGTTTAGCCAAGGAGCAATTTGATAAAGTGGTACAACTGTTCATTGTCAACACCCTCCCCCCATTTTAATCTGAAATACAACCTGGGGCACATAGCCCCTAATTAAATTCACACAAAGTACAAATTATTGAATAGAAACCAAAATGCATTTCAAAGTAAATATCAATTAATGTGACACCCAATTTCTTCACCTTTTTTAATCACTCCAATGTGCAGGGCTTATACACAAAGCATATTCAATTTCTTTTGTAGGATTCAATTAGAATATGCTTTATATTTCAATCTAAGAATCATATCCAATGCTTTTGCAAGCAGGTTGGTTAGGTGTTTTTTCTATGTGATTCTTACCCCCCCCAAAAAAATCACTGATATAAAAAGTTCCTCTTCAAATTTTTCTGTTTAATTTGAGAAGAATTCTCATGATCTAGTATTTCTCTCCCTTAATACATGGGTCTGTGCTTCTTTTGACAACATCACTACCTCTTCTTTCCTTGTTTCCATGACAGTGAACATCCAATAGAAAAGTACAGAGCCATCCATATAGGAATTCTGACAGCAACATCCAGTCAATCTAGTTTGCGAGACAAGGCTTCAAATAATAAAACTGTGTTCAGCAGCACTCAACAAATGATTGTCTGTAAAGTAATAACTTGAACAGAGGGCAACAAGTGACTAATCGAGCACAAGAGTGTCCAAGTGTAGCTAATCACTTGCGAAAGTAATCAGCCACTTGGTTTGTTTTGTCTTGGAGAGTCCAATGATCAGACTACTCCCAGAGAGAACACAGCAGGCTGAGCTGATTTCGGGAGCCATGATTATGGCATTCTGGTTACAGTATACTTGTGTGTCATTCATTCGCCAAATACTAACTGAGCACCTACAATGTAGAGATACTGAGATTGGTACTAGAAAATATGAAGAAGGCAAAGTCTACACCCTAAAGGAGCTCAACATATTTTGGGAAGAAGAGCAACTCTGGTTTGTAACAGGGGAAGGAAGCTCTCTGATAACATATACCACAAATCATCACTTGATGCTTGTCATACACGTTTAATTATTTTTAAAAGTGAAAAACACTAATAAATAAAAAAGTTTCTTTTCAAACTATGTACAAGTTCCATGAGTGTAGCTGCTATTGTTTTTCATTTTATCTATTCCCAGATTCGATTTACTTACATGGAGCATCTACCATGTACCAGGTACTCCCACACAGCCTGTCTTTCCTTTTTCCCAAGGTATCTAAAAACTGCTTTCGGTGTAACAGATATTTACCTTTAAAAAAACCCTCTGAACCAAAAAATTTCAATTTATACTTTATATGTCCTTGGGTTAAGTATTTCAAAGGAATCAAATCGTGTGAAACCTAGTAAGACCGTATTATTCAATTATATATTTTTACTTCAGTTTCTCATACCTCACAGTTTACATTAAGCAATACTAAATAAATGTAGTCTTCAAAAAGGCAGCGTGCAATGCAGGGTCTTTCTGGCCATCATCATGACTATCAATTAACAATGCAAAGATAAATGCAGTAGTGCTGTGAATACTGACAGTGCTATCCTGTTGTTTAAGCTACCACAGATTTATGAGGGGTTCTTTTGTCCATAACGGCCATACAAAAAAGGATCTTGACTCATTCCATTTCCAGGTCCTGAAGACGTGCGTGACATGAACCTCCTTCTAGGAAATTTCCTTTAGCTAGTTCTGTTTAACTTTGGTCTCCCTGCTTCTTTCACTCTGTTTGACAGGTCATTAAAAGAGCATTTTTAAGGCTTAGGAAACAAATTAAGTCTAGACAAGGGTGTTACTATCTCCTTTAATGCTTGGACAACAGGGAAAGCAAGAAGGCTAGCTCCTTGAGGGCAGGGGCCAGTATGCCTGACTGGTCTTTGTCTTGCCCTCAGACCTCAGCACAGGGTGCTCTCTAAATGATTGTGGGGGACGATGACAAAGAGTCTGGGCTGCTCTTCTGCTCTCCAAGGCAGCAGCTGAGGGGTAATACAGGCCAGTGTGCAGCACGCAAGGCTGTCACTCAGGTCCTCCATTTGCCTACGGTAGCAGATGATTGGGTTCTGCACGCCTGGTTTACACTCTTCAAATATTTATAGACAGTTTTCTTTGCCTCAAGCCCTACTTGTCACTTGGCCAAGTTTTACACACATGGTTCTTTTAATCTTTCTTTAGAAATCAATCCCACTAAGCTCCTTAGTCATTCTTGTTGTATTTTTCGCAACTTTTGGCTGTTTGTCTTTCTGGTGATTTATTCTGTTGAAATGCATGAAAGTAACATACATATGGAGCAGAGAAGGCTTTAGCCACCTTTCCATTACAAGGGTCAATGCCTTTTACATACAAAATGAAACTATTTATCCCTTGTCCTTATGTATGATCATGTTTAAAAAAAATTCATGTTTCAGTTGATAGATCAGTTAATACATTGCAAGAGAAAGGAAGAAAAAGTATCGTCAGTCTTATATTTTCAAAGGGTGATATCATATCGTCATTGATTGAATTCTCTCATATGTCTATAAACCGATTAATTTAACCTGCAGTATCCAAACATGGGGGAAAATGGGAATCCAGCATAACGTGCTCAACACAGAGAGGCCTAAGTGCCCATCTTAAGGTAGCTCGCTATCTACCTGTGGATACTTCTGGCTAACTTCAGCTTTTCAATGAAACAAAAACAAGTTAATTTTTCCCATTAGAAAAGTAATACAGTAAGGAAAATTTCAAATAAGCAGAAATGAGGAAAAGTCACCTATAGTGCACTACTCAAAGACAACATTTAACATTTTTGAAGAATTTCATTGAAGCTTTTTTTTTGACGCACTGTTTTTTCCCTCCCAATGGGCATGCTCATAATCATTTGCACAGTTCAATACCTTACGTTTTTGCTTAATATTATATCATAAAACTTCATGTATTACTTTGTCTTCAAGTCATAATTTTTAATGACTACAGACTATTCCATCAAGTAAGTAGATATGCCATAATTTTATAATTCCCTGTTGTTGGACATTTACATCATTGCCATTTTTTTTCTAGATTAAATGCCATTACAAAGAAAATCCTTGTTTATAAAGCTTTTCTGTATTTACGATTATTCTTTGATTTTGTAGCAGTAAAATTAATGGATCAAAGGATACCCAGAAAATCAGTTTTGAAGTAAAGAGTTAATACAAGTACTATGTGAAGTGAAAAATACCACCTTATATACAAAAATTTGCCTTTTGGCTCTGATGCTAACAAGTGAATGCTCAAATCTCGGAAAGTTGTAGATAACTGTCAAAGATGGCAAATTCCAATAAGTTAAATGTGGTACTCACAAATATGACACTTCTTTATTCACACAAGTATACTGTTGACCCCTTATTAATTAAGCTTAAATTCTTAACCTTACCTAGATCTACCATCAGAAGACGAGTGAGGGCTGTGTAGAAGGTTGTTCGGCACCTGAAGTCACTGAGACTGTAACTGTCACTGATGCCAAGAAAGGGGAAGTGTTCACTCTGATGAAAGCAAGAGAGCATCCAAAGTTACTAAGCTTTACCTAAACTACCCGGAAAACTCTAGTCATTAATTAAAGGAAATAAGACTCACCGTGTGATTTTTTAACATGAATTTCACGGCATCTATCTTCACAAGTTTTTTTAAAAGGATATAGGTAATAGAAGTTAAGGAATCTGGGGAAATACAATTGTCTTACCAGTAAGTAATAGATCACAAAATGACACTGAACTATAATGGCATCAGTTTCTATTTAGGAAGAATAAATATTTCTTCTAAAGAGTATTATTCCTATAGAAATGCCTTCCATTCTTTTAAGAATGATAATCCATTATTAACCAGTGCAATTACTTTTCCTATCTTACACATTTTCTAGTTATGGAAAGGGAGAATGACTTTTATAATTAAGACAAAAAGTTTTTTACTATTAAAGCCTTGAGAGTGGAAAATTAAAACTGACCCTTTTTACATTTTGGGTGTAACATGGAACTTCTTTTCACTTAATATTATTTCATAAAAAATAATTATGAAAGACCCATAATAGGCTATCAAGGAAGAGAAAATTATTCAATTCTAAGAAACATGAGCTCAGTTAGTAGAAATCTAAGGAAGTTCTGCTTTAGATGAAGAAAATCAGAATACAATTAGGAGGATGTAGCAGATTGCATGTCCTCAAGTATTGAAGGCCAGGTTTAAAGGACCTAATATTTCTCAAGTGCCTACTAGGTGTAAGGCATTTTATATTTGTTAACCCACCAAATCTTCATAATTACATTGTTAAATATTACTTATTATGTCTAACCTGTGGATAAGAAAACAGAAGCTCAGAGAAATTAGGTTACTTGCCCAAGACTACACATCTGTGGACTGAGGGTGCTGACATTTGACCTGAGGTTTGATTACAAAGGCTGTGTTCTTTCTACTGTACCACATTATCACCTGAACAGTTCAACTCAGAATGAGAATAGAGTTGAAAAGTCACAAACACGATCACAAAGCCTAAATAATTTCTGGTTAATGCCGTCATCAAAGAAGGGCTGAAGTGGGTTCTAAGAACATCTATTCAGGACACAGACACCCTCTGCTCTTACTTAGGGTTTACCGTAAGTGTCTTCTAGTCATGTGTCTCCTACTCTAGCTAGGGCACCTCTTGGGCATTCCCTACATACTTACTCACACCTTTCTTCAAGCCGTAATAATCTTACATGGTTCCATTTATGTCCCAATGAAAACACTGGCTCTTTTCCTTCACATCATTCCCAAATGCAGATGTATATTAACTCTGCACAGTGGGGCTGATAAGCCTAATTTAAAATTTTAGGCGCTCAGGTGTGGGTGTAAAAGAGTAGAAAATGCACTGGAACAAAAGTTTGGAAACCTGGGCTTTCAGCTTGACTACACCATTCGATCAGCAGGATGACAGTCTGAGTACTATGCTCAGCGACTCTTAGCCTTAGTTTTCCTCTTCAACAAATGAGGATATACCCAAGCTATCTTGGGTTGTGAGGACTGTTGTAAGGATCAGATGATGCAAATGTCTTTGCTAAATGTAAATCAGAGAGAAGATACAAAGAAGCAGAGAATGAACCTTTACAGAGTGCTTACTACTTGCAAGGTTAATTCTCACAATCCCATGAGACAGATTCTATTTTTCAAATGAGGAAACAAACTCAAACAATGAAATAAAACTTTCCAAAAGACAGGCAATTAGAATGATTTACATTCAAGCCCCTCTGACTCTAAGGCAACCCATTCCAGTTGCATATTAAGCAACTGTATAGTCTGCTTATCTGTATATTATACTGTAAACTTTCTAAGGGCAGTGGCCGCATGTATGCATTTTCCTCAGTACATCGCTCTCAGTGGGTGCTCGATGCACTATGTGTTTCTGGAAGGTTGAAACAAGATCAGGGCTGATAGGTAGCAAGTCCTTCCCTGCTTTCAAAGATGCAGATTTGATGATTTTTTCCAGTGTAAATCACTGAGTAGAAGAACTGCCACTCAAACTTCACTCGGTTAAACAGGGGTGGGGATCAATAAGCTAAGAAATATCTTAAGTAATTACCAAATACAATTCGCTTACAATTGCGAAGTTAAAAGTGACAGGGTCTGTGGGTAATAAGAATGCTGCCATTAATAGGAATCTTCCTGTCAGTGCTGCTAATAAACAGCAAGTCATGTTTTGACAACAGAATATTTATGGTAGCAATAAACAGAACATTCACAGGAAGAATCTCATATGCCAAAGACACACTTTCTGCAGAACTGCATCCGTGCACTTTGTATCAAGGCCAGCCTCACGGCCTTTTAATTACCTTCTAAAGAAAAAAAAAAAAAGGTTAAGAGTGAATTTTTAAACTTTTTCAATAAAGAAAAAAATGAGCGTTCATCTGAATATTTATATTCCCCTATAGGAATTCAATTCAAAGCTAGTTATGGTCCTTAAGAGGATCTGTAATTTTTTAAAAAAAGGTAAATAGATACATCATCATTATAATCTTCATTCTTCTCTAAGAGACTAGGGTTCTTGTAAGTTGCACCATTTTAGTTGGGTGGCAGTACTAGGTTAGATTTCAGAGGCCTGTTGACAACAGTTTATAACAGTACACGTGGTAATGGTGGTTAACAGTAACAACAGTAGTAGAAGTCCAGTAGAGTTAGAGAACTTAATAAAGGTCTCACATGGAACTTATAAATGGTAGAGCCAAGATTCAAATCCAAAGGTCAAAGGTCTGTGTGAAAGTATAAGCTCTTTTCACTAGGCTATCTCATATCCATTTAATCTTAAAGATGCCAAATGATTCTACAGAGATCACTAGCTTCTTGAGATACAACTGAAACTGGAACTAGGTCCCAGAAGCGACAGGGAAACTGTTCTTTTAGGAGGCATCAACTCATAAGTGAGCCTTCATCACATCCAGGACTGAGCAAACTCCATAACCTGGCTGATACTAACTTACAAACAAAATGCTCATAAAATTTCTGTCTATATCCATGTTGTTATGAAACCACTGATGAAGGTGAAGATGGCCTTACTGATACTTAGCAATGACAAATGGAGAAAGGCAAGAAAAAGTTGAAAGCATGGTGTATCTTAGAGATGGTCAAAATTTTGAAAATCTGCATCCTTTGAAAAGAAGGATAACCAAATTGAGAATGCCCTGGTTTCTTAAGTTACAGGTACCACACACTTCAGCAGCTAAGGGGCACAGGAGCACCAAGTATGACTTCAATTCATGCTATCAAGTCTTTACTGAGCAACACCATATTTCATCAATCCTAAAACACCACTGATTATAAAAAACATCCTTATTATATGAGCTACTATGAAAGAAAAAGTATTTTAAAGTATCATCAACTATAAAACATTTTATTTACAGAAGTGTTAAAATGTGACAAAATTTGTTTCAGAATCAAAGAAGTAGTGTATTAGATGCATGATATTCACTAAGCATAAGAGGGTGGATAATGGTATTGACCTAGGCAATTATGTAAAAGCCATACATATTTACAAATATTACAGATAGAATTAGATCCTGATGATAGAAGAAAGTTCACAGATAAGAAAACTACCTGTTGGAAATTACTGTAGGTAATATAGTATAAATATACTGTAGGTATATAGTATAATTACTGAAATATTAGTTTAGTTATTTCAAAAGTAGAATTATGCTCATGAACCCTACTAGACTAAAAAAATCCAAACAGGTATAACCAAAATGAAACATCTTAAGGGATACTAATAACTACTTATAAGGACTAAGAGTTAAGGTTTAGTATCTCAGTAGGAGAGGTAACAGTATGTTCAAAAGGCCTGCTATGTGATGAAGTTTTGAAACTATAGAGAAAGGAAACAAGAGTCCTAATCCCTAATAATTTACAACTTAATAGTAGAGAGGACTAGCCAATACTAGGCTATATTATATTCATCACCAGAAATATAGATAAGAACTAGGTGTCCAAGAACATTAAGAAAAAGAAAAGGAACGAAAATGAAGTATTTAGTAGCACCTACTATGTGACTGGATCAGTAGAACCAGGTGCTTTATTATTGTAAGATGACATAGATATATTGTTATGTATTTATTATCTTATCTAATCCTTACAAAATCCTAAGAGATAGGTAATATTCCCTTTCTACAGATGAAGAAACTGAGTCTCAGAGAAATTAAATGACTCATTCATGTTCTTTCAGTTAACATAGTGACTAAGGATTATAACTACTTCAGGATGGCTCTACCAAGTTTTTAGCTAAACCTGAAAATTAAAAGAGACCTAAGTGAGTTACAATGGATCAAATGAAGAGAATAGCACATGTGGTAATTCAGTGAAAGATAATGAAGGGTGTCAAGGGGAAGGCAAAAATAAATTTCCTTGGCCCAAGTATAAAGTACAAATTGTGGTTGAGTGGTAGATCAGGAAATTAGTTATGGGAACTCAATAAATCAAGTACCATTAAAGAACTCAAGTTTAAATCGATAATTTTACTTTGACCCAAGAAGCAAGTGGAAGTGACTCTGGGCTTTTGGGAAGAAAAATGATCAGATCAAAACAATACTCGAGGAAGGTAATCCTGTGAAGCAAGAATATATAAAGAACTGAGAGAAGGCCTGCATAAGTGGGCTACAGAAAAGGAGTAGCAGATTCTCACCCTTGATGCCAGCACAAAAACAAACAAATAGAGCAGCTAAATTACGAGATGACTTTTCCAAAGATGATAGAGACAGCAAACAAAGAAATAAATCAACATTTCTTTTGATGAGAAATGTTAATAGAAGTATGCCTGAGGGATGTAGCTGAAACTAGTTTTATTTAACATTCTGAAAACCATCTGGAGATGGTGATATTCGCTGAAATAAAGCAATACATTTTAATACTGTTTCACAAAAGCAGAATTACTACGGTTTATTACTAAATATTTCCTGTAACAGACATACCCAATTTTACTTCCATCCTTCACCCTGATTTCATTCTAGACCCTTGTTTCATCTTTCATCCTTTAGTCTTTCCTGACCCTCCACCTCATTCAGGATTCACCAAATCCTGGTGTACAGGAACTATGGGAGATAGTCCCAGTCTTAGAGCGTTAGTCTGAAGCCAAATGGATTCTTTCTTTAACAGATAACCTGAGCCAGTTTCATGGGCGTCCAGACTATGCACTTGCACAGGGGCCTCTGCTTATAAAGGCCTCTGCTTGGGTCAATGCTCTGCTGATGAGGACTTGAAATTCTTAATCATTTATGAACAAGGCACCCCACATTTTCACTTCGTACTGGGACCCGTGAATTATGTATGTGGTCTTGCAATAACATGATGAAGTTATTAATTCTAAGAATTGCTTAAGTTAACATTATCAATAGGGTAAAGTGAGTTTGGATAAATTCATGAATTTATGTAGAACCCTTTAATGGGGTCTGTTGTTTAAAAGCTAACGATATTGTGGGTTTTCTCAAACCTTTGAGGATGATGTAATAAGGGCAGCTACCAACAGAGGGCCTAACAGAAAATGAAATTTCCTTTCTCATTATTATCTATCTGAAACCCAGAGACATGTAAATGCTATAAATTTTAGTAAACAATGAATTGCAGTAGAAATATTGATCAATTATTTTTCAAAGGAAGAAAAATTTGAAGTAATGATTAATAAACAAACAGAATTTTGGATGAAATGTGACACTTCTCTCCCTCTTTCTCAGCATGTAAAATAAGTAAGTTTATTTGATAGCTCTGTATGACCCTTATTCTTGCTCCAGTTTTCCTGGCAGCTTCCTTGTCCTAATCACTTAAACAATCTTACTCCTTTCCCAATTAGATAGAAACTAGAATTTATGACTGGAAATCATTTCAAAGCAGGAAAAAGATCCCCAGGTATTAAAACTAACTGTGGAGGGCTGCCCCAGGACAGAGTCATTTCAACTCTGTGCCTGTTAGAGAAAGCTATTTAGACTCTGGAATTCTTGAAATTTAGTCTTGGAAATTTAAAATGCTTGCTAAATGTATCATATATGCCACATGTAATGAATCTGTCGGGAAAACAAACTTTCTCTCAAAAAGGCCACTAGATTTTAAAATTACAATAATCTTACCAATTTAGAAAGCTTCAAATTTACCAACAGAAACCTTGGGGTGAATGCAACAAGGGCTTTCCAGTTAAAATCTGGGGACTTAACATAATGGTATCCTCCTCACACACATTATTCTTTGGAAAACTAGACTATTTCTAAAAACATCAAGCCCACCTTTTCCAAGTGAAGATGAATACCCTTAGAGAAGAGCTTGTAGGAGAAATACCCGACTTTTCTGTTTAGGACATTCAGTTCTATTTTCTGATTAACTTAAGGCAGAAGTCCTCAAAGTATGGTCCTTGAGCCACCAGCATCACCTGGAGTTGATGAAAATGCAAATTCTCAGGCCTCAGTCTGACCCCTCCTAAAACAGAAACTCTAGGGGTGGGGGTGGGGTCCAGGAATTTGTATTTTAACAAGAACTCCAGTGATTCTGATTATCACTAAGGTTTGAGACAGTAACCATCAGGGCCCGGTTACCATTCCAGGTTACTCTGCCTTAGGCAAGTAAACACAAGGCTTTTTAGCGCTTCTTAAAAATGAGGATCTTTTGTGATTTCAATTTCCAAACAACCAGTCAGATACAAGACCACCAAAGTTCAGAGAAGGGCTGTGAGGACCATAAATAATGAGTAAGATTCACTCTGAAGAAGATAAAAATAGAGAAAACAAAAAAAATAAGTATTTGAAGACATGCATTATAAAAGTAATAAGGAACATTTAAAAATTTTATAGTAAGATAACATGCTTTTCATTTATTTGTTACTAGTATTTTAAATATAAATATTTTGAATATTACTATATAAACATACTTCCATTTATAGAGGCCAAATGGTGATGATTTTTATCTTGCATAACTGTTTCTATTGCTGAAGAGTGTCACCTTATTTTTAACACAGAAATAATGTATTGCTTTAAAATCAGGATTTAAAAACACATTACAATAAAGAAATCGATTAGAAACAACAAAACATGCATTAAGTAACCAGCAACTGCACTGAAATAGATACACCACTCACATATTCCATTATGTAAATGAATTCAAAGATATTTCATGACTGATCAGCTAGAAGGGACATAATGATTTATAATTCAAATAACTGAGCAGTGAAATCAAATTGAGTTAATATATATTTCTAAATATGCAAACCTGAAATAATTGTTTAAAAATATAAATCAATGTACCCAAGTTGAAATTATGCCTATCCCTTGGTTTAAAACGCTAGCTTTTAAACTTTTATCTAATAAGCTTTCTGAAAATACGATTCTTTTATTAACTTCAAAAAAGGAGTGCTCAAAAGCAGTAAGTGACTTGTAAGATAAATGGTTATAATCTCAGGATTAAAGATTATATAAAAGGTATAAGTGATAGGAAAGGATCTTTAATAGCAGATACAAATAAATTAGGCATTATGTAAATCATACAAAAAACAATACAAATCAAATTAATTTTATATTAGATTTCAATTTCAACCTAAAAAATAGGGGAAATCTAAACATAGATATGTGCTATAAAATAATATAGGCTTCTTTCCAGATAATATGTTCTCAAAGTAATACATTGTGAAAAGGCCAGAGTTTGCAATACTAGGAAGTACTTATAAACCACTTCATATGTTAGAAATAAAGAGTATTTCAGCATTATTGTTAAAAAAAAATACAGGTTGAGTATTTTTTTTAATAAGAAAAAATACATATCTTAAAAAGCCAAAATGACCACTGGAATTGGGTTGTACATCACTTTCCAGTAAAAAGGAAAAACAGCCTGGACAGGTGTAATTTATCATTTTTCTGATTTAATATCAAAGAAATATATTAAAATAATAAAAAGAATCCTGAAATCCTCAAAATTTGTAGTGATAAATAGCCCTCCCTGTCTTTATTGCATTATACCTACTAACAGAAATATTGCATGGTGGATTTTGCCAGACAAGGACGATTATTTTCCAATAAAAAGTTGCATATTAAATTCCAGCACAAAAGTGGGTGTCTAATACTTTGGAAATCTTTTATGGTTTGCCAAGGAACACAATTTTAAACTTAACTAATATAAACATATTCCTGGAGTGAACCTACATTAAAGATTTCCATCCAATGCCACCCATTTTCAGAATGCTGTCCTCATGCTAAAATATCAGCTAATCTTAGTGGTTACCTAAACCAACACTTATTTTTCACAACCCCTACATATTTGATAGCTAACATATAAAAGACAATCGACATACTTCTCTCGCATTGGTAGAAACATTATAATAGTATCAACTATAATCTAATAAGAAAGGATGATTCTGGTTTTAGATTTTAAAAATCTGCTAAAGAGAAATCTAAACATTTAATGTGTAATGGGAAATCTTATTTTAGAGCAAATAAGATGTTGATTTGGTAGAGGAAATAATCAAAGAAGAGGTCAAAAACCTTGTAATTCCCTTTCTATTACTCCTTTGTGCCTCTTAACTAGTGAAAATAATATTTGTTTCAACTGAAGAACACTGAAGAAATACTGATTCTTAGGAATTCAGTTTTTATAAAATAATATTTTTGGAACATTTTGACTTTCTTAAAATTAGTTACATGTTTTTTTAAAACAAGAACGTCCTGACAATTATGAAAAATTACGGATTAAAACATGTGGCTTGCATACTTTCTTATATATCCATTTATAAGCCTGGATGGGTATAAACATTAACTTTAACTAGTTAGAAATCTATATATCCATATAAATTCAATTGTGACTCTGAATAAAATTTTCACATTATATAGCTAGTATAAATCTTTCAAAATTATGCATTTACAGATAAGGCTAAATGAAAGGCTTTTTATTAAAAAAATAAAAAAACACTTGAAAAATTATAAATAAGGAAAATACCTGGCCAACAGAATGCACTTGTTAGGTTGTTTATGTACATTATCAGATATAGTAAAAAGGATATCCAACAGAAAGGTCATTTAGGAACTGAAGAGTCCTTGAAATGACAGGCTCACATCTTCCCCAGTATTTAAGGTTTGTAACACTAAATATGAAAAAAAAGTTTTTAATTATAATGAAGGTATTTGTGTAGGGAGAACATGGAAATACACATACACTCATGTCAGTTAAATGACCTAAATCACAAATATCTCATAAAGTGGGTTTAAATATCAATGGAACATTTTCTATTCTTTTCATAGCATATTCAAAATTATATACAAGCAATGAACACTGCTCTCCAAATGGTGTATTATTCTATAAATTTAGTTTTGTAAATTAAAAAGTTGCCTAAATGTTTCACAGAAGAAACATTAAGTTTGTATCCAAAATAAACATAGTAGGGAGTGACAACAGGAGTTACAAAGGAAGTCAAACAGAGACTCACAGTTACTGCCAAGAAGTGGACCATCAAACTTGTGGTTCCAAAACTCACTTCCTATGATCATGATTGTTTATCTAGCTTTGTTCTCTGCAAGTAAGGCAGTGCTACCTATCTGTTACACAGATGAAGAAAGATGTCAAGTGGAGGCATAGAAGTTTAGGCTAGGTGTACAAAGTTATGTCTATGACCAGAAACTAGTTAATTTTGCTAATATTGTAAGGATAATTTAAGGACAGTTTCCATGAATATGTCTCTGATAGCCATAGGTTTCTACTGGAATCAACGAATGCCCTGTCTGAAGGCAACCAAATCTCTCTCAATGATTCCAATTTGCAATAATCTCTTGAGTTGGTCTTTAAAATTGAGTATTTTCTTTTTAATTAAAAAAGGCGGTCCAATTGAACTGAAGAGTCAAAGTCTGTAAACTTTTCAAAACCATGTTTTGATACTGCATACTGCAGTAGTACGGATACCTTGAAAAATAACATATTTTGGATGGTGAATTTTAAATACGTGAAATTAAGTTTCAGATAAGAACAATGCTACCGTTCTAAGAATTAAAGCATAATTTAAAAAGTCTCTTATTAAAAATTAATATTTCTGGAGAAATTTAAGCACAGTAAAAAGGTCAAAGCAACACAATAACAGAAAAATCAAAGAACCAAAGCAGGAACTCACATTTTCGTCATGAATGTTTCTAGAACATGGTTGTCATCTGTTATTCCTAAGACTTCTGACATACGGGCATATACCTGCATGAAAACATTTAATTGTTAAAAACTTTATCATTAACATATATTTTCAAAAGACTATTCAAATTGAACAAATGTAAAGATTTAATGCATTGTTGCATCCACAGTGATGTAGGGAACGAATGGGGAGAACAAATTAAGAATTTAAAAAAATTTTTATAATTTAAAAATTTACCCTCCTCTTTCTCTTCCAGGAAGCACCTCCCTTATTTTGAAATATATACATACCCACATAAACCCACATTTACATACTCATTTTATTCCCAGCATACCCCATAACTTTTGTTTTTTTCTCAAAGTGGTAATAAAGCACCCCTTTCTCAAAGGCAGGTATATGTACGTAAAGGGCTGGAAAGTGGAGTGCCTCAATAAAAGATTCCAACATTTAAAAAATTTCCACCTCTTCCAGATTTTAGCAAGCCATCAAATAATTCAGGATTATGTTAGGCAGCTATAAAAATAAGGATTTCAAAAATAAGAGGAAGTTAAAGAATTTATAGAAATTCTCCTCAAGTATCTCAATAAGCTCCCCCAAATATACAGATAGGTCTTACTTTCCATGCTGAAACTGAAATCCCAGGCTCAGGGATTCTCTGCTGAATACATCAGGGTCTGGGAATCCACTAAGCTTCCCATTAGGGAGTGATGGTTGCAGAGTTTGGGGTGTAACATTTCAGTTCCAACCTAAGCCGCATTGAGCTTATAAACACATATCCCACTACAAGTGGGAAAATGCCACTGGCAGCCAATTGAATATTCCCTCTAATAGCCTGGCAAAGCTGAGAGGTGGGTTGACACCTTCACACTCCCTGATGCTCTGGTATGATTCCAGGTTATCTCTGCCAGACACCAGCTGTATGGGATTTCTCTTCTCTGATTTGATTCCTTGTGATTGTGTTCTCTTACTCTCTCCTGATCTGACTATTTCCTATGGTATGGCAACTTAGCTTTCACTCCCTCTGCCTTTTGTTTTTCATATGTAAACACTACCTTGATATAATGTCATAGGTTGTGAAGGTGAGATAAAAATCACAGGACACCACAAATCATCCAGAGTTACATGGTGATACAGGGGAGGAAAGCTGTTCATTGCAGAGATCTCATGTTTGGATTTTAAACACTATTCAACCAGAAGCTTGTGTTCCAGGCTTTTGACTTAAGTCCTACGACCAGGAGCTCCTCAGGCCAGTAGAGTGAATCAGAGAGAGGGAGAAAGAGAGGGGAAGGAAGGGGCAGGCGAAAGAAGGGGCAGAAGGGTAGAGGGGAGAAGCTGGGGGAGAGAGAAAGGAAGATTGAGATTCAAATTCCTGTTGCTTCTCCTGCTAACTTCTGAGCCCTAATAGAAAAGCATTTCAATTCCAGTATCTGTGACTTGGCTCATGAGAGTAGGCCTTCATCTCTTGTAAGATCAAAGCTATCACTGTTTTTGTAAGATGTCTGCTGAGAAGAGGGAGCTAGGGAGAAAGAACCTAGGGAAGTTAGTTAACACCAAATCCTCAATCATCAGAAACCTTTAAGCCCATAGAAGGCTCAAAGGAAGAATGGTTGTAAAAAGGGAAGTTTCCCTTATCTCAACATGATCCAAAAGCTCTCTCATGTATGGGAGTAAGTCGGGCCCCTTTGAAAATCTGATATTGATATGACTATGGCACACAAGGCCCTTCACAACTTGGCCCCAGCCTACCTCCTCATCTATCATTTCCCTCAACCTGAAGCCACAATGAAATACTCATGAAATACTGAGGCTTCTCATGCAATTACAGATCTCTATGAGTTCATGTGCTGTTCATTTTTCCTGAATCAGCCTTCTTCCTCCTCTTCCCCTGATTCTCATTCAAAAGTCATCTCTGAAGCTTCCTTCCATTTCCAGGTAGGGTAAGTTGCGCTCTCCTTTACGTTCCTATAGCGTCTGGTCCATTCCTCTAGCGTGGTGCTTTTCACATTGTAATTGTTTGGGTGTCCATCTCCCCTCCTACACTGTATTTTTGTAAAATAAAATTTTACACTTTCAAGACTTTTCAAATGCTATTTTTTATGGCAAAGATCAAATTAATCTAATTTTGATTTTGCCCATGCCACAATGAATAATAGAAATGTAACAAAAATGTGATATTAAACATTAAGACATTTAAACATATTAAAAATATTTTTTAAATTGATAGTCCCTGCAAGGAAGTTTTCTGTTGTGTCTCTGGCATTCAAGAAAGAAGGAATCTAAGCAGGCAGGTCTGTTGTGCTCTGCTGTCAAAACAGCTTCTCAAAGCATCAGATTTGACCCAATACGATACTGGAAAAAACAGTCAACATTGACACATGGCAGTGCTTTAATCCACAATTATCCTTGTAACTTGCACCATTCCTTTTATCATCCATTAGCTTTGATTCCCATTATCCCATCTAGAACTGTATCAACGCTTTTGTCCCTAGGGATTTCTCTCCACTACTAGGATCTGACAGCCAAGCTTGAGTACTAAACAGGATCATTACCTCTTAAATCCACTTATCTGATCTACTGAATAGTAAATTGAAAAGCTCATTAAGAGCAACAATCTGATTTGTTTTCACGTGTGACAGGGTCATTTAAAATCAAGGTATGATTACTGCATTTCTTTTAAAAGACCATCTCACGTTTTCCAAGGCACCTTATCATTCAGAGAGCATGCAGATAATATGAAAATGTCTTCGAACATTTGAAATGTAGTTATACCATAGATACACATAATTTGGGGGTGAGGACTAATCTGTCCAGTGAGGAAACATCTATAAGATTATTTATCATAAAGCACAAGTCAATGAAAGTTTTCTACAGAAAAAATTCTTACACAATATTTAGGGGTTTTCAACATTTTCTAAAAATTCTATCACTTCACCAAAAATAATTTTTATGACAGCAAGAAACTACATCACAATACATACTCATTTTAGGGAAAGATATAGGAGTTGGCGTAGGAATGCAAGAAAAGGAAAAAAGTTCACTTTCAATTCATAGGTTTCTAATCTTTTATTTCATAATCAATTAAGATCATTTGATCATAGTGAAAAATAAGCAAAAATCTAAGAAATAAGAGACTAATAAGCCCATTTGTGTTATCCTTCTCTGAAGGATACACTGAAGTTGAATAAATCGTTATGCTTTTGGTTATGTGTTTCACATAACCTAGTTTTTGCCTGTCAGCCTGTGCCTTCCTCCCTTTCTTCTTCTTCTTTTCTTTTTTTTTAATATGCCTGCCCTTCTCTGTTAGACTACAAACTCCCTGAGGGTGGAGATGATGCTCTGTCTTTTATCTCCCATGCCTAATACTCAATAAATGTTTGTTAAATGAATAACAAGAATGTAATGTTAAAATGTGTATTTTGGCTGATTCCATTTCATTCATAATTTTGTAACAAAAGGAAAACAACCAGTAAGACATGTGTTCTTTTTACAAAGAATTTTTTTCCTGTAAAGATAATATATTCCAAATTCTACTTACTCAGGTGACCACTGGTAAAGTTTTGTTATTTAAAAAGATACAGTTCTTTAAAATTATTATTATTTTTTAATTGAAGTACAGTTGATTTACAATGTTGTGTTAGTTTCAGGTATACAGCAAAGTGATTCAGTTATACATATCTATCTATCTATATATCTATTCTTTTTCAGATTCTTTTCCATTATAGGTTATTACAAGATATTGAATATAGTTCCCTGTGCTGTACAGTAGGTCTTTGTTGTTTATCTATTTTATATATAAAAATATGTAGTTTCAATGCTTAAATATTTCTGGAAGAAGCTCTCCCTGTAGATTCAGTAAGAGGAGCTCTCTCTCCTCCTTTGGATACTCAGAGCATCCATTGTTGCTGGCCTATTAGTGGCACTTCTCATGTAATAGAATATTATCTTGTTGTAGTACTAATTTTCTATGTTTATATGTGTTTCCTCCATTACTTCAAGCACGTGCTGCCTGAGGGCAGGGAAATGTCTATTTCTCTTTTCATCTCCAGAAGTACTCAGAAGCTATCTCGATAAACTTAGCAACATACAAAAAGCACAGGTTTTGGTCCCAAAGATAACTGGATTTGAATTCTGCCACTAACTAGGTGTTACTTAAAGTCTCTGAATCTTGGTTTCCTATCTGAAAAACAGGAATAATAATAAAACCTACCTTATGGGCTTTTGGGAACATTAAATGATGATACCTAACACAGAACCTGACATTTAGCAGCTACTCAACAAATTCTGCTTCCCTTCCTACCCCCTTTCATGGACCCTTTCTAATAGTAGGTGCTAGTATTGTCAGCTACTACCTTTCCAAGAGAAAGCTCATTACATAAAAAATAACAGAAGGGTAAGAAAGGGCTTACCTTGAAGACTTTCACACAGAAAAAAGGTTAAAACAAACAAAACCCTAACTTTGTATTAACTTTGAAATCTTGCTAATCATGGTCAGAAATGGCATTTGTTAAAGGCATAAAGCTTCAAAATTTCATGATACAAAACCAAATTCTTTCTACTTCTAAATAGTTATTGTCTTAGAAGGCAGAAAAAAGTACCCATTTTAGCCAGTCATCCATCTCTCTGGCTCTTGAAATACAGGAAGTCATTAGAAATGTAAGAAATTATCATCAGTACAGACATAAGAAGGCATGCTCCTAAAAAACTGTCTTAATATGTTTTCTTATCTCTAGTCGTTCTACTGTGCAGCTTCTTTTAAACTTCAGAAAAGAGTATTTGGATATGTATATAACACTTCAGTGACCCACTTATGTTCTTTAACTTCTAAACCAGTCAAGTGACAAATAATGTCTGAGCATATGCAGGTAGTTGAAATGATCTTATATCTGGTTTTTAAAAAAAGAAGCCAGACAAGATAAGAAAACCAGACAAGGGAATACACATACAAACAGCAATAAGGTTTTGAGCTGTAAATTTAATTTAATAAAGAATAAAAGCATGTGCTGTGATAATTTTTTAAATTGCTTTCTTTTTCCAATCCTAATCCTTGGTCTTGGGTATCAGCAGTGTTGTCTCTAACATTCTGGTTATAACTTTGAAGAAACTAATTATGTCAATCCTTAAGTTTGAAGTAGATTACAGAACTGGGAAACCCAGAATATTAGTTCCTAAAGGTTGTATGGATATATAATGACAGTCACAGAAATTCAATAACAGCCCTCTATGAAATGTACTCAAAAGCACCGCATGAAACAAATTAAAAAGAACAATGAATCTCTCATTGTGTGCAAATAAGAAAATAAGAGAAAACACTGGTTCTATAGGTTTTCATAAGAGTTGTTATAATGAATTAAGATTTTGGATAATGAATCTTCAGAAAATTACAATAAGTTAATACCCTTAGGCGTTCTATAAATGTTTAGGATGTTATAACTTCTCGAAGAGCTTTTATAAGCAGGCTCAGTGCAGAAAATTAGCAGTGCTGTGGAAATCAACAACAAAGTATTTTGCCATCAGATGATATACTTTCCTGAACCAATTTAGTGTAAAAAAATTCGCATCCAATAATACAAAGTTGATACCATAAAAATTTTAAAAGCTCAACAATTATGAATTTTAAAGCACTGTTTTAATCTATTGAAATGACTTAAAAATCAAGATTTTTATTTTTTTGAATTTTATTTATTTTTTTATACAGCAGGTTCTCATTAGTTATCCATTTTATACATATTAGTGTATACATGTCAATCCCAATCTCCCAATTCATCCCATCACCACCATGACCCGCCCCCCCACCACTTTCCCCCCTTGGTGTCAAGATTTTTAACTGAATGTAATTTAGTAAAACAAGACCTGTCACTGGAAAGCATTCAATATAATAAAAGCATTAATGTTCCTTAGGAAAAGAATTTTGGAACGGAGTGTGAACTCACTTATTATGAGTAAGAAACCAATTTCCATATTTTTGTCTTAGGCTTCAAGTGCCCTTGAAGCCAATGCAGTGCTCTCTACATGAGATCCATAAAAGAGAAAGGGAGGGGAGGGAGGAAAAGGAAAGGTGTAAGAGGAAACTAACAGAGCATTTAATGACTTGGATCTAAACAGTTTGGAACTAAAGATATTGAGCTCTCTCATTAACGTCTGAAGCAGAATAAAAAAAAAATAAAATGATCGTCACAATTAACTTGTGACCACATCAAGAGAATTAATAGTACAGACATCATTGCTGCATATTAAATACATAAACTTTGTGATAATGAATAGATCCACATTAATCTTGGCTGACTGATTTTTCCATATCATTTAAAATAACATCCCAAAATACAGGACCAAAATTAGGTAAAAAAATCTTTTGCTAAAATTTAATTTTAAGACCATAATTTACTTTGGAAACCAAGCGGTAAAAGGTTAGGAATCTGCCTGCCTCATTCAGTGGAATACAGAATGACATCTGATAAAGAAAAGCTGGCTATGGAGATATAAAATAAATATGAATGTTAAGTATTTATTTCAATTAGAATATCTGAACCTACCATCTGTGGTGGCCATCTTGCTAAGGGGACATGTACCTAACAAATCTCTTAAGAGGCGTTCCCAATCTGCTTGAATAAGCTATTGTATAAGAAAACTTGGAGCGACCACTTTGGCCTCACATTTCCTTCGCTCCACATCCTGTGGCACAAAGCATGAACTCAGCAGGCTGGGGTACAGGGCTGCCTGCTGCCTTGTGATAATCCCCTCTCCCAGTAGGGGCCTCCACTGATGCATGGCTAAGAACATGCTTCCTCTTTTGCTTGCACCCCAGTGGGGTTTCCATTCCTCACTTGGGCCCAAATCCAGACTGCTAAGGAAGGGCTCCAGATGCCGCCAGAGACATTTTTGGATTAGTTTCTAAACAATCATTTATTAGAAAGAGGAGTACAGGTACAGTGTGAAAACCAGCAACACTGGTAATTTTGGAGAGATTCTTTCCCTCCTGCCCCGACCAGATCTAAGGTCTAACTACCACCTGTTCAACAGAAGCTGGCTGTTTGCCCCATTTTCCTTCAGGGAGCCACTGACTAAGGATCTCCACCAGCATGAACCTAATGTCTCCCGACAGGCCTTCACTAGCCAAGAGGGACCTGGGTCGAGAGCACCAGTTATTGGTCACAGGATACACAGTCCATAGAAAGACTCCTGTGGTGCAACCAGCTGAAAGCCAACTAGAGAAGACGGGGAGTGTACATTTGTCCTGACACAGCTTTGTTCCCGCTGGCTGCCAGTTCACTCCATATCTGGGGCCAAGCTTCTGTTAAACTAGTCTTCTGGGGCTAAAGCCATGGTAAAGTCTTGGGTAAATATATTATCTTTCCAAGCTCATACAATAAGAAGCGAACCATGGCTATGGCACAGGACTACTGGAAGAAGGTGTGATTAATTTCGGTAGAAGGTTTTGAGATCATGGTTTGAAGGGGCATTTCAGGCATTTGATTCATAATTCTTTGCAACAGCAAATTTATAAGATGACATGATTACATTTTGGAGCAAAGAATTGATGCTGGATGAAGTTTGTGAGAGAGTGATGGTAGAGGTGGGGAACTGGGAAGTAAAAGATTTTGTTTAATCCTTTACACCTCTCAAAGGTGTCTGCCAGAAACGTATTCTGGCACAAGAGATACATGTGCTCTAGATACTGTTCAATAACAGATGCTATTCATTGTAGCCAAATACAACTTTCTGCTTTCAGGTATGAATAACTGGTTAGAATTGGCCACTTCAGAAACGTTATAATCAAGAAACCTAGGCTGCTTTCATACTATGCAATCACACTGAACAGAGGCTTCGCCGTTAATACTATCGAACGTTAGCTGACTATAGAACATTTCGTTATAAAACATGCACACTGTAGGATTCCACAGTGCATAAAAAAGGGAATCAAGAAAAATGCACCCCTACACTTATCACTGTGCACGCGCCTGTTTTAATAATAAGAATCTCGGGATGTGGTGAGACAAGCATAAAGACTGGTGATCCACCACAATAACCAGCAGCTCAACTCACCTGAACTATTTTCCAAGCCTTCTTTGGAACTCTGGACACATCACTCCTCAGGCGTACAACCTAAAAAGCACAGAGTTTAGGGACCTGCCACCTGGTGTCGGGGATAAGGGAAGAGCAGAAGTCCTTCCCAACTTCCGATACAGGGAGAATGTGGCTCAGGATCTTTGTGGTTGTCACTTAAAATATTCATGGGACTTTGATTTTATTCTGGAGGCTAGGATCATAGGCAGAGTGAAGTGCTGTTCGAAGCCTGGATGTGGTTATATGGATTACAATGGGTTTGCTTCCATGAAATAATTCAAGAAACCAGTTACTAAAGGTAGCCCTGAAAAAGAACAAATTATAAATAACACCTAACAGAACTATTTTTAAGAATCTCTTAATACTGCTGTTTCCCATGAGGCACTCTAATTATGCAAATGTGGCAACTGGGGCTAATGATATAAGTAGGCCAAGTCAACTTCTGAAGGGTAAAAGTATATGTTCAATAAATGAAACGCATTTCTGTAGTCACTCAGAAAGTTAAGCAAATCACATTGAGTCTTCCACCACTTAATCTAACTCTTGCACACACACTCTGCCTCCACCCTGCCTCTCTGAAACACCTCCCATTTCCTACATCCAAAACAACTGCTGTACCTTCCTCCTATGAGCCACTCAACTCTCTATCCCTTTAGGAAGGACAACCTGACAAAAAGAGTAAAGGAATAATGGCCCATGGAATGAGAAAAGGGCTGCCAATGACATTGTGCATATTTTTACTATTCTGTCAAATCTGCTATTTTCATTATATTCTCAAACTTTACTCAAAAACGTTGATCCTATAGTCCTTCGTAGCTTTTACTTTCTGTCTCTCACACTAGCCTAGTTAGTGAAAACTTTAACTTGCCCTAAATGCAAAGGATCAGAGTTCACCTTCTGATGGCCTACTGACGTCTTTCAAACACTAGTATCTTCAAACACTAATAAACACTTCAAACCTTCTCTGAGGAGGCAATATACGCAGCAATAGGCTAAGTACCGCTTCCATCCTAGTCTTCCTACTGAATACTTTTATGTTGAAAATTAGCTACAACGTTTGCAAAAGTCTAACTGGTGAACAAAGACAACATGCAGTTGCCCAGGAAGCATAGTCTTCTTTCAATAAGAGACAGAAATGAGCAAGTTGAGTATATATTTTAGATAACTTCAACTAGAAGGAAACACAGAATGCATGTCTAGTGCAATGCACATGGAATACTGAGTGAGGCCACTACTTGCTAGCCTAGCACACTGCTTGGCAGATAACAGACATTTAATCAATATTTTATTTAATAAATTAACTCTATAATTCTAGTAAAATTAGTTAGCCTCTAAGAGTCTCAGTTTCTTCATCTGTAAAATGGAAAGAATAATATCACAAAACAGAAGGCAGTCTAGTGAAGTGGTTAAAGATAGATTCTGAAGCCCAAGACTAGTTGGATTCCACCACTTACTAAGTGATTTTGAGCAAACTGCTTACCCTTTACACCTTAGTTTTCTCAAATATAAAATGAGGATGATAGTTGGCCCTAATTTACAGAATCTTTGAGAGGATTAAAGCAGTTAACATATGTAAAGCACTTACAACAGTCCTGGTACATGGTAAAATTTCCATAAAGTACTGGCTATTATTATTGGGTTGGCAAAAAAGTTTGTTCAGTTTTTTTCTGTTAAGATGGCTCTAGTAGCACTTAGTTGTCTTTAACTTCATTCGAAACAAGTTTGTTAGATTGTATGTGGCAGATGTCATATGAGCGTGCATTTAAACAAAAACATCAAAATTGGTGAATTTTTGTGTAGCCACTTTAATATTGAAGATGGAAGAAAAGAAGCAACATTTTCAGCATATTATGCTTTATTATTTCAAGAAAGGTAAAAACACAACTGGAATGCAAAAAAAAAGATTTGTGCAGTGTATGCAGAAGGTGCTGTGACTGTTCGAACGTGTCAAAAGTGGCTTGCGAAGTTTCGTGCTGGAGATTTCTTGCTGGACAATGCTACGTGGTCAGGTAGACCAGTTGAAGTTGACAGCGATCAAATCAAGACATTAACTGAGAACAATCAGTACACGGGAGATAGGTGACATACTCAAAGCATCCGAATCAAGCGTTGAAAATCATTTGCACCAACCTGGTTATGTTCATCGCTTTGATGTTTGGGTTCTACGTAAGTTAAGCGAAAAAAACCTTTCTGACCATATTTCCTCATGTGATTCTCTACTTAAACGTAATGAAAATGTTCCGTTTTTAAAACAAATTGTGATGGCAATGAAAAGTGGATACTGTACAATAATGTGGAACGGAAGACATCATGGGGCAAGCGAAATGAACCACCACCAACCACACCAAAGGCTGGTCTTCATCCAAAGAAGGTGATGTGTATATGGTGGTGGGATTGGAAGGGAGTCCTCTACTAATGAGCTCCTTCTGGAAAACCAAACGGTTAATTCCAACAAGTACTGCTCCCAGTTAGACCACTTGAAAGCAGCACTCATCGAAAAGCGTCCAGAATTAGTGAACAGAAAACGCATAATCTTCCATCAGGATAACATAAGACCGCATGTTTCTTTGATGACCAGGCAAAAACTGTTACAGCTTGTCTGGGAAGTTCCGATTCATCCGCCACATTCACCAGACATTGCACCTTCAGATTTCCATTTATTTAGGTCTTTACAAAATTCTCTTAATGTAAAACATTTCCATTGCCTGGAAGACTGTAAAAGGCACCTGGAACAGTTCTTTGCTCAAAAAGACCAAAGGTTTTGGGACCATGGAATTATGAAGTTGCCTGAAAAACGGCAGAAGGTAGTGGAACAAAACAATGAATAGGTTGTTCAATAAAGTTCTTGGTGAAAATGAAAAATGTGTCTTTTATTTTTACTTAAAAACCAAAGGAACCTTTTGGCCAACCCAATATTATTGTCATCAAATGCTGTATTATATACAGCACTGCCAGCACAGTGTCAGGAACACTTGGAAAGTTTTTAGCACACAGTATGCACCAAATAAACATTAGCTATTAGCCATTAGAATACGTGGTCACTAAATGGCCACTACTATTATTAAGTAAGATAGTCAAACATTAGTCTGGCATTAAGATTATGAGGCATGCACCAAGATGACGGTCCCTTTTATTTGTGCTTTATCTGGACTAGATGGTGGAAAGTAAATATTTCTTCTAAACTGGCATGTGAGTAACTTTAATAGTGGTTAAAGAAGAGTGATTAGAGGGAAGAGAGCCCCAGTGAAAGACAGACTAACTCCTAATCTTCTGTCTTCTACCTATAACTTCTATTTTACAGAGGCGGAACAGTAAATGTGATGGGAAAGGAGACAGGAGGAAAACAGAACGCTATGTGGTAGCAGGTGATGTTTTAGCCCAAGGGCTCTGTACAACCTAAGTTCCTGATTTCAAAGCCCTCATCTTCCTTTTTAGAGTCATCACAAGTTCCTGTTTCCTGTGTGCAGGATAAGTTCTCATCTCTGGGTTAAGTAGATGATTTACATCCCTGTGTCCAATAAGTTATCAAAGTCTTCCCAATTCAGGTAAACAAGTCCATCCGATTCTCTGAGTTTTCTTTGCTAAATTAAATGCTCACAGACAAGGGGTTCCAGAACATCATCATTAGAGTTTTAAGTTATCAAAAAGGTTTTTGTGTGATAGGCCCAGTAAGAACAGAAAGGGGCTGCCTTTCATATATGAATATAATATTTATCTCTGACACTAGGCCATGGGTTGAGTTGCTTCTCCTAAAGTAGGGTGGATTTTAGCAGATATCTAGGATGTAGCTCGATTCTCTTGTGACTGCTGGATAGCCAGAACTAGAGGTCCAATCTGTGGTTGTAGTGATGAGATTTTTCCTCGGGAAGTAAAATAGCAAATACGGGGATGAAGCTGTGATGATGGTCTTATCAATCATTACACTTAAAACTGATCATGTCTGGACTCATGTCTAAATACCTACATAGGTAACGTGATACACTGGAAAGCACACTTGGGTTTAGGGTATGATGATTTGGTCGAAAACCCAGGACACTAAACAAGTTTTTAACCTTCCTGAAATCTTTTTTTCATATTCTGCAAAATGAAGATACTCCTACCTACTAAAGAGAATATTGCTGAGAAGACTAAATGAGAAAATGTAATAAATAATGCCACAAAGTGGAGTGAAGCACAAAGTAGAAACCCAATACAGGTTAGATTAAGGTTGGAAAGAAACATGACCTCAAGTGCTATTTCCTAGGCATTTCTCAGTCTACATTACCTGGAAATACAGAATTTGTCACTTACAGCATGGATAATGTTTTAATACCCAGTGCCCTGAACTTTAGGAACTTCAGGAATGTTAAGGTTGGAGAGTATTGTGTAAGTAAGGCAGATGCATCTGCTCGGGAGAGTGGTATTACAGCCCATGTCTCAGAAATGCAAATAACCAGAAAAAAAGGACAGTTGAGAACTGGGACCAACAAGCATGAAAGCATTTCTAATGAGTCACTAAAGCGGGCTAAGAGGCAATATGGAAGGAGGTGGTCATGTACACTTGGAGATAGGAAAGGACAATAAGTGGCTGAAGGCTTAAAAAAAAGGGTTAAAACAAAAGTTGAAAACTGCAATTTCTCAGTTAATGTAAAGGCACCAGTGCACTAAGGTATTTCGCACATTTCAGCACTGTCTATCCTTTTACAATTTTCCTCGTCAAAAGGTGTGGGAGGTTGTCCATGGAAATGCATTTCCAATTTTGTAATGGGAGTCAATCAGAAAACGTAATCCACGTTGGAGAAAGTCGTTTCAAAGCCAACTTTGCTTAAACACATCTATTCAGTAAAGCAAGGGATACCGGCGCTGGGGAGACACACAGGCTTAAGGGAAAACAAAATCCCAATAAGTAGCCAAATGTGCTTCTATTATTTCAAGATTCCTTCAACAGAAACATTATGGGAAGATAAAAATTAGGAAAACACTGAACTGAACTAATTCAGTGTTAAAAAAATATTTTGCATTTATGTTTTATAACCAAGTGCTTTTCCCACATTTGACCC